TTGACTGCATTTGATTTATATGCTGGATGCAGACAATAACAAACATTCATATCATGTAATAACACTGAATGCATGGATGATTCGTGAGAATTTGTTTCTTTTTAAAGCAGCATACAACATTCTTCCTCCATGCTTAATGACAGAATGATGATTTAGTTTGTCACAAGGAATTATCAGAGTTTGTTTTTTCTTTTTAAGACCTATTAAACAGCTTATTTTTCCTTCTGTACTTCTGGCCGGTCCCATTGTCTCTCTCTTTGATATTATTATATGCCATCCCCTCTAATCTTCTAGGATTCTAGTTCTGGGAGCTGAAGTCCACACATCTTGAAGTTGCCATGGTTGACAACCACTGTTCTGGAGTCATTCTATCAAATGCTGTACTTACACACCATTCATTTTGCTTCATTTTGCTTTATGATAGCTGGGTGACTTGTAGTATATTCTAGAGCAATGGTTCTGAAACTGTTTGACACAATCACCCCTTTTCCTGGTCTTAAATAATGTCATTACCACCACAAAAAACAAAACAAAACAAAACAGACTCTGTTGTCTTACAGAAGCATCTTGGCAGCAGCAGTCCCAAAGTGGATCCTCAGCTCACAAACAAGCCATTATGAATTGCTCCGTGATCCCCTGGATATGCCCAAATTACCCCCTTGTATAAGAACCACAGTCCTCAAGTCATCCAAGCATTGTTGTGCCAAAATAATATTCATGGGAATAGGCTTTCCATTGCAGCTGAATGCAAATTTCTTTTGTACATGTTTATACTCACTTTTGTATACTTGCTATAGCTGATCTGCATATCACAACTTAGTCATGCATATTGTCAGTGGATTGGAGAGAGCACTATTTTCACGCCTAAATATAATTTCCTATGATAATGAATATCCAAATGCTTACCTCTCAAATTCAGATGCTGTAAATTACAGAGTGATGAAAAACTTGAGGGAAGCTTTGTTAAACAATTATTGCTTGCTATCAAAGTGACCAAGCTTTTTATTTCCCCTGTACTTTCTGGTATTTCTTGTAATTCATTGTGAGAAATATCCAGCTCTTTAAGAGACGTCAGGTTTGATATCTCTTCTGTCAGTGATTTTAACTGAAAATAAAAGCAATTAAAAAAAGCATTTTTATACAGAGGGAATATTTTTGTTACAATGGAATCACTTTTTGTTAGCTACACAAGAAAATATCCAATATATCTTGCTAAAACGGTGCTGGACAACGAAATAAAACTGAAGGATAATGATCCAAACAAGCGTTTTAAGAGTCTTTTCAGACTTCTAGAGGTCAAACTCCAGATGTACTGTAATTTGAGGGGGAGTCAATTCCAGGGGGTAACAGCTTAATGGGAAAGATCTCTGAAACACAAGGGGCAATTTTAAAATGGAGAAAAAGTCATTAATCTTGATTGTGCTATTGAGCCTAGCACACAAGGGCATATATCAGTGTTTTTCAAACTTGGCAAATTTAAGGTGTGTGGACATCAACTCCCAGAATTCCCCAGCCAGCATAAAGAGTCATAATTTTAAGTAACTTACCCTTAGTCCATTTTTCTGGCTCAGAGTTAACTTCTGCAATGATAAAAGTTGGCATATTTCATTTGGAAATGATGCAAACTGGTTGTCTGACAGATTTAAGTCTTTTAGCTTTGACAGGTGCTTAACATCTGTAGGAATGAACTGTATTTTGTTTCCAGAAAGATCAAGAACCTTTAGATGATTTAGAACACACAATTCTCTGGGAAACAAAATAAATTTGTTATGGTGTAATAGCAGAACCTGAAGACACTGCATTTGATGCACATTTGCCGGAACAGTGCTTATTTCGTTGTTACTTAGGTCTAAGTAGCTCAGTCTGGAAAGAGTGCACAGGTATATGGAAAATGAGGGTAGTTTGTTCTTACTGAAATTTAGATGCTGCAGGTTTTTAATAAATGAAATGTCAATAGTTATTTCTGAAATATAATTTCCACTAAGATTTAAGTGTTTAAGAGCAAGTAGTGCACACAGTCCAACTGGAAACACAGCCAGTTTATTGTAACTTAAGTCAATTTTAGTGATTTCTGTACAGCTTTTTATTTCAACAGGAACGTACATTAACACATTTCCTGATACTTCTAAAATTAGGAGTTCCTTAATGTATGCTATTTGTTCATCTAAAAAGAACAGTTGGTTTCTGTTTAGGTACAATTCCTTTAGACGTTTTAATCTGTATAAAGTGGAAGGAATCTTTCTTAATTGGTTGTCATTAAGGTTGAGGCGTTCTATCATGGTACAGTTGCAAAGACTATCAGGAATTATTTTTAATACATTTTTGGCAAGATTAAGGTCACAAAGCTTTTGTAGGTTTTCCACTTTATCTGAAAGACTTTCTAGTTGGTTGTTATCCAGCCTCAGTTTTTCAATATATACCAACTGAAAAAGCTGCACAGGCAAAAATGTAAGCTTGTTATTACTTAATGAAAGCTCTTTTAAACTTTTGAGTTCTTTAACTTCTTTTGGTAAACTCTGGATATGATTTTCTGACAAACTGAGCTGATTTAGATTTGGAATGTAACAGACCATCTTTGGGAATATTGAAATGTTACAATAATTTAAAAAAAGTGCATTCAATTTGTTCATGGTAGATATAGAGTCTGGGAGAATCACATTATTTCCACTGAGATTTAACATTTCTAGTCTATCAAGTTTTTCTAAAGCAAAGTGGATTTTTTCAATGTTGTTATGACTGATCAAAAGACACCTGAGTCTTGACAGTTCAGAAAAATTTGGGGGGAACCATGATATTTGGTTATGACTGAGATTCAAAGTTCTAAGTTTTTTAAGTAGAGAAATTTCAGGAGGTAATGAAGTTAATTGATTTCCTTCCATAGATAATATTTCCAGGTTTGTCAACAATTTTATCTCTTTTGGTATGGTCTTTATGTTGTTATTGTTTAAATTCAAAAACTTCAACTTCTTTGTGTCAAAAATCCCTGAAGGAACTTCAACCAGTCCTCTTGCATTTAACTGAACTGTAAACTCATCAACCATCATTTCAGATAACATTTCTTCAGATAGCGTTTGGCATATTGTAGCACTTTCTATTGAGTGTATTAAGCTTTTTCTAACTTGAACTTCAAAAAAATCTGGTGGGATTTCAGCTAATCCTTCAGCATACAGATATGCAAGAAGTTCAGCATGCTTTGTATTGGCTATCCAATCTGGTGAAACTTTTTTAAGTGAATCTAGTTTCTCTGTAGAATGTAAGCCATCCTTTTCTGCATCTTGTAAAGACACCTCTATAGAGCTTTCTGCTTCTTTTTCAGTTATAGTCTCCTGGAATTCATTTGCATTTTCCTTGTGCAAACTGCCTGATGATATTTTTGACAATTCCAGTGATTGTAACTCTAATGTCTCCGGTTCTGAATCCTTCTCAACAATTTCTGATGATACTGTTTTAGTTTCATTAGCATTAGTAGATTCAGTTTCATGCTGATTTTCTTCAAGCACTTGACTTGATGATCTTCCAATTGTATCAAGTTTTTCAAGAGATTGCATTCTGCCATTTTCAACACCTTTTAGAGAGACTTCATTGACTCCATCTGTATTTACACTGGAGGGCTGTTCCTCTTTTTTATCAGACATACTTTCAAAAAAAAAATATTATCAGTTGTTGTTGCTTATTCCAGCCTTTTATCAAAAATAAGAAAACAGAAGAAAATCAAAATATAATGGCAAGATATATAACAAATAAGAAACAGGATTCAGATAAAATTAGCGAAATAGTAATAAAGCTAAAATTTCATTTTGTGGTTTTAACTGTTAGATTAAATTTCAGATGTTTGTAGCTGCTTAGAACCACAACATCATACATACATACATACATACATACATACATATATATATATATATACTGTATATTTAAATAAATAATATATTTATAAAATTAATGTATAGTATTTTTAAAAGATAACACATTCAAGAATTCTAATAACATCACAAGCTTACTGTATGAACTGTAAAACTTACTGTAAAACTGTATGACTTTATTCAAATAAGATTTATTCCTTATTTCATTCAGGACTGCAGTTGTGTAGTGCAAAAGCAAAACGCATCCTCTTATAAGTAAGACCAAATTTTACAAGGCTTATGCCTAGGTATTAAGACTGTGCAGTGCTTTGGGCACAAAGGTCATACTTTTCTACAGCTATTTTAAAAAGCGATTTCTTTCCCAGGATCATGCGGCTGCTTACTGTAAAGAGTCGCCACAGCTGCTTCCTACGCAAAGGAAGCATGCAAAACACCTTTGTGAAATTGAATCTGAAGTTCTCCACAGCCATCATGCATATCATGTGGTAGCTAGAATGTTTTCCATTCTGTCATTAATATTAGAGCTGGAGTATATTTAACAAACGGGGCACGTTCTTCTTTTAATCTCACCTTATAGAATTTCCAACTGCCAGAGATTTTCAAATGGAAGTTCCAATTTAGACCAATCCTGATTGGCTCATTTTTCTAATCTCATTAAGCAAGAGTTTCTGCTTAGATCTAGGAGTACAGTTTCACAATGAAGGGATCAATAACTAAATTGGCAATATCTACATTGGCAATGTTAACCATAGCTTTAGAGCATGCGCAGAGTTCTCTATAGCCAAGCTTCAATACTAACAGCACTTAGCGAAATTGCAAGAGGAAGCAACTAACCACAGATGAGCTAGCTCAGATAATAGGGAAAACTCCTCCCAAAGAGACTAAGTCTGAGGCCTGATAAGGAGGGAGGGCCCACAACAAGGGTCTGCAGGGACTGATAAGGTATAAGAGTTAGGGGGAACTCGTTTAAATTAATGTAAGCAAACAAGGGCGGGGAATAATGAATTCTGCTAAAGTTTCTTTGACTGGTTGTAAAACTCATCTTCATTCTAATGGTAATAAGATCTGCCTTTTAAAAAATACTATCAAAGGCTGTGGTTTTCGGGGAATAATGTATTCTGCTAAAGTTTCTTTGACTGGTTGTAAAACTCATCTTCATTATAATGGTAATAAGATCTGCCTTTTAAAAAATACTATCAAAGGCTGTGGTTTTGTCTCCAAGGGTGTGCCACCCTGCTCTTTCTTAGTGCATGGTTTGAGCACCCAGACTTTTGCTTGGCCAAATAAAAAGCTGCTTAGAGAAGTTCCTGCTTGAAGTCTTTTATTTTGGGCTGTTGATTGATTTCAAGTTTTCTGGGTAGCTGTGAACCTTACAACAACTTTGGAGTTTATCACAAGCTGTTTTTCTTCAGTGATTGACAATATGTTTCTTTGGCTTTGAGATTATCTTGTGATCTCTTGTGTAGATAATGTGGACTTCCTTACTTTCGAAAGCACATCAGTGCAATATTTATCAAAGTGCCCCATGTGGCTAGATCCTTATTTGTGTAACAGTTTAACAAATATAAACACAGGGCCTTGGGAAATGTCTTCTGGCTTGACTATAACATATTTGTATTCTTGGAAGAACATTGTATTGCAATTTTTGAAAAGATGCGAAAGTGGCAGAATCCTGGTGAAGGCAAAATGCTCAACCATTGTGCTAACCATGGTTTATAGAGCATAGGCTCTGGATTCACTCAACACATTGAGACAAAACCAAACCAAGCAGTATGGCTTAGTTTACGGTCCATATCCAGACAATCATATTTCATGTGATAGTTTCCTGCACCTGAGCACCACTGCTCTATCCTACCTTTGCACAAACTCATGATTTCATGTTCTGGCTTGTTTTAGAGGAAAACGACTATTTTGTAAGAGATATAAGTGGAAGATATGGTTAAGTGTTTTAATACTCTTGAAGGTTATGTTTGAAGAAAACGAAGCATGCTTAAGATGTGGAACTGAATGTACAATGTCAAATATTTTGATGATCATATAAAATGAGTAAGATTAGAAAAGAAATATGAAAAGATAACTTTTATGTACAAATTGTAGAATTTGACTCCTAGTGACTTCATAGGCACATCCATTTAGTTTTCTTGGAAACAAAATGGAAGTGGTTTGCCACTGCCTTCATCCAAGATATTTTTTCATTTTATAGTCCATCCTATAGATTGATTCCTGCAGGTAATCCATCAAGTATAATCAAATCTTTTAGTCGCGCTTAAAAAAAACCCTCAACAAAATTACTATATTATTTGACACTAGCAATAACAAAATTGCAATTAAAATATGTGACATTAAATAACACCTGCAACAAAAGGACACATATTTTAGAAACTGTGCTTTGTAATACGTGCATCACCCAGAGTCATGTGAGATGGGTGGCTATATACATTTAATAAACAAACAAATAAAATATGCTATTAGAAGCAGTTTTGAGCTATTTTTATTGTACTATCTTTTCGTTCATGTAAAAAGCAGTTAACATTCTGCGCTATTTGGATTCCAACTAAAATAAAATCAATAAACGATGTATATAAGTACAGCAGTGAATTTTCTCTATTCGATAAAAAATGCTTTATGATTTTCATGCTGGTTTATTTCTACATTTAACTTTATTACAAAATATTTCACAGTATATATGCAAGAGTAAGATCTGTGTGTATGGTACTCATTAAAAAATATTATTGTGGAAAGAGGAACAGCAGTTTACATGCAGACACCAAGTCCATTTTCTGCATCCCAAATAAACTTAACTATTGAATTTGGCAAATGAATAATGTGCATTGAGGCTGTTTCTCATCCAATTGGTAATATTTATGAATTATAAAGTTATTTATAGACTGCCCACATCTACAAAGGACAAGACCTGCTTTTATAAATGTATTTTCCTTATCTGCATCAGACGTTTACTACTTGTGTTCCATTATTTTTATTTCTTAGGTTGCTATCATGCCTTTCGTCCAGGAGCTTGTCAAATCATTGTGCGCTGGAGTGAAAAGCATACTGTCTTCAGTTTAAATTTTATAAATTAGGATGAAAATAGTGTCACATACATTCTAACTTCTAACGTTTAAAAAAGGGGGAATATGATTTTAAGTCAAATTCACAATGATCCATTTAACATTTTGTAAGGACAGAGTCACACTGAAATATGATACAGAAACAAGTATCTTATGGATAATTCAGAAAGGGATATAAAAATAGCTAAGAAATTAAATCCTTGAAAGGTCAAAGCTGGAAGAATCAGTATTTTGAGAAGAATATAAAATGGAATATAAATTTTGTAAGTAAAATAATAAAGGAATAAAAAAGCATGCTTTTCAATTCTCTGGCTTGTGGGCATCAGCAACAATTCTGTACCTTATAAGGGTTGTCCCAGAGTAATGTGATCTACCAAGAAAGAGTTGCTTAGAGTATGCGTTAATTCTTCAAATTTGATGATGGTGTAATTAAGCTTCTTTCGCCATTTGCAGTGGTACTTTGGCATAACATCTTAATATTGGATTTGAAGGTGTGGGGATAAATTAAAAAAAATCCTCAAGTCTTTCACCTACAACTAGGCTTTCCCCTACTGTCTCTGCAAACAGACTTCCTCCAATCACGAGCCTTCAATCACGAGTGAAACTGCCCATACTGTCTCTGCAAACAGACTGCCTCCAATCACGAGCCTTA